GGCATCTTTGCAGGTGTGGATACGCAGTGGTCTCAGCGGGACACTGTGCAGCTCTCGGGGTGGGATGTAGGGATCTGCTGGGGGCGGGGGAGGGTGGGGGAGGGCTGCGATGGGCGGACCCTCAGCCAGGACTGATATCCGGCAGGTTTGCACCAGCCCTGCCCTGCCGGTTGGCACACCGCAGAGTTTCCCTCCCTGCCCCAAGTCTCCCTGCCCTGAACCCAGTCCTGAGCTTCCAGTCCTCCCTGACGCTCCTCACCTCCACCTCCCTCTGCTATGGCTCCATCCTTCCCTGCATTCTCACGGTGCTCCCAGGGAAGCTTTAAGCCTGGGGAGGAGGCCAGGAGCGTGCCCAGGGCCAGCCTTTGGGGCTGGGAGCTGACTCAGGCATAGCGGAGCGTCCCTGCTCACCCTCTCCCCTGCATGCTGGCATCTTTGGTGCTGACCATTGGCTGGCCAGAGCCAGGCTGTTCTCCGGGCTCGGGGACTGTGGGGATTAGTGCCCCCGCAGGTGCCCCAATCTCCACCTTGGCTGTCTGCCTCGCCCAGTCCAGCGCCCCCTGCTGCCCTCAACCGTCCCAGGCACCTCTCCCATCCTACCGATATCAGCCTCAAACCCTTGGGCCCAGCAGAGCAGCCGTGGGAGGAAAGGTTGGGGCCGGGTGGCCAGAGGGACCGGCTGCACGGCGCTGCTGAGAGGTGGTGGCCTTGCCAGTCGAGCCAGGGCCAGGCCACCGGACGCAGAGCCCTCACTCCCTCCTGGGGACAGGAGCAGCTCCTCTACACGGGAAATGCTCTTGCAACTGTCCAGCACCAGGCGGTCTGGGCCCAGGGTCACTCTGAACTGGGACCGAGGCCCGCTGTAGAGATCAGGAGGTAGTGAGCCTGGGGGCCTCCCCTCTGGAGCCCCTCTCCACCACCCTCCCGGGCCCTGCACCCACCTGCCAAAGCAGCTGGCTCCTGCGAGCACCCACTCTTGGGAGATGAGGACCCCCCTCTAAGCGGTAGCGGGCATCCAGGAAGATGCTTGCCTGCCAAGGCCACGCGGCCAGGCCCTTCCTGCTGTTGGCCTCCGCCGGCCTGATTCCCGCACCTCAGGAAATGAGGCCTCACAGCTCCGCTCCGGGACCCCCACACCCGGGGGGGGGGGGTCTGGCGTTCATTTCTTTCCTGTCTGACCCACCGCCTTTCCACCCAGGCCCCTGCTAACCTCTGCAGCCCCAGATCCGACCTCTTGCCCCCTCTCGCCCGAGGCCAGGCTGCCTGCGATGCGATCCTGTGTGAGCTGGAGAAAGCTACCTAACCTCTCAGGGTCTCAGTTTCCTAGTTCCACCCCGAGGGGTCTTGTGAGGATTAGAGGGAGTAATGTAGGTCAGAGACTGGGCACATCATCTCCGCCCTGCCCACCGAGAGAACTCCTATTCAGCCTTCAAAGCCCACTTTTGTGAAGTCTTCTTTGCATGCCTGTCCCCAGCCCCTCCCCATCTTCCCTGTGGGGAAGCTTGCCTCACCTTCCTGCCCAGAAGCTCAGTGTAGGTGGGTATTCAGCTCTGCTTGCTTTTCTCTCAAGATGGGGAGCTCACTCATTGCTAAGGCAGCTGGGCCTCATTTAGGTGCCTTCACCCTGTCCATGTGGTTTGACCCTCAGGATCTTCAAAGGTCAGGCCCCATCCACGTGGAGCTCCTCCCTGGAGGCTACACACCCCCCACTACCTGTCCCCATGTCTGTCCTGCACCCGAGTTCCTGTTACTCGAACCCAAGTCTGGGTCGGCAGTTTTTTTGTTTTTTTTTTT